CCCTCAGCCTTTAATGTTCGACTAGGTTCATGGGTGACAGGAAAAAGAGTTGAACTTGTCAGATTGAACCTCTTTTTTCGTTAGGAGATAGGTCGGTTTGTTTATCAATTGACACTAGCTAAGGTCTTTTCCACCGAACTTTTATCAAAACCAATTTGATTTTCTTTTTGCTAAGAGCCCTTTAACTTCCTCAATGTTACTTTGAATCTTCGTCGAATACATTTGCATTGATGGTGACAAGTCATCTTGAGAGACTCTAAAAGCTTGTTGATAGCTGATTAATGCCGCAAAATTGCATCGAAAACCAATTTGAAGCGCATAGCCTATGTTATTGTAGGTGATAGCAGTCTGTATATGATTTTTGATGTTCGGCAACTGAATAGCCAAGGCTCTTCTGAAGTTTTTGAGAGCCAGTGTATAGCTTCCTTTTTCTAGATATAGGTCACCAGTTTTTAATAATAAAGATTCCAATATGTCTAAAGGAGCGGCTGGTAGTGCACTTTGATATATTTCTAGTGCTTTCTCATAATTACTTAATGCTATGTCTGAGTCTAAAAAGGCATCTTGGTATAATGCACCAATTAAAGTGTATACCCTAGCTGTATCAACATGACTGGGAGCGGATGTCAATAAGATTAATAATGCCTTCTGATAATTTATCAGAGCAAACTTAAACTCTTTGATAGTTTCTTGCGCTGAACCCATATTCACCATTGTTCTTGCTATATCGGGATGATTTGAAGGTAGTATCTCCTGAAGTATTCGTAACGCATTTTCAAAATTTGTCATCGCTTCAGGAACATTGTGAGGTCCTTTTAGAAGCGCCAAACCCAAATTGTTGTAGATATATGCAGTCTCTATATCTTTCGGCGTTATTTCTAATTGCATAGCTAGACCCATTTTGCAATTATAAATTGCTGCTGTGTAATTCTCCTTCATACGGTACACTAATCCCATGGCATGAAACATTCTAGCCATTTCTTTGGGATCTGACCATGAACCAGTAGTTTTGTATATTTCAAACGCTTTCTCTAAATTATTTAACGCTTCAGAATGATTTCCAAAAACGAACTCATGCAAAAAGCCAATTGCCCTGTATGTGTCAGCCGTATAAGGATGATCAGGGATGATTTTCAGACGTATAGATAAAGCTTTCACATAGCAACTCATTGCTAAGTCATTTTGTTTCTTATCTCGATGTACATTTCCCATGTTATGTAGCGTTACTGCGATATCAGGATGATCTTCTGGAAGTTGTTTTGATTGAATCTGTAATGCTTCGCTATAAGCTGAGAGAGCTGCATCATAGTTCTTCTGCTCGAAATATGCTGCAGCAATATCGCCGTAGACTTTGGCTGTATCTAAATGATCATCTCCGAGTGTTTGTAAGTGCGAATGCAAAGCTTCAGTGAGATTCACTAGCGCTTCTCCAAAAATTGTTTTGTCTAACAAGGCAGTACCGTGATTCAGGCATAAAACGGCAATCGAGAGCTGATCTGGCGAGTTCCTTTTTACTTCTAATTCGAGAGCTTTCGTATGATATGAATAAGCGTTATGATGATTATCTTGAGCTGCAAATAGATCTCCAAGAGCACCATAACATTTTGGGGCATTGGGATCGTCCTGTGGCAATGCTTTCAGCAGTTCTCTATAATACTTCTCGGCTTCATTAAATTTTCCCATTCTTGAGAAGATGTTTCCAAGTGATACAAGATCTGTGTCTTGTGCAATATTATTTTTCTTCATCGTTTCGAATAATGGTTTAAGATCGTTTGCTTCTTCATTGACTAACATTAATTTAATAACCCACATTTTGTTGTTCTCATCTCTGGTAATGTCAACTATTTTAAATATACTCCCAATCATAAACAAAACCTCTTCTTCTTGAGCTCCAAACGTACTAAGATGAGCAATTGAGGCAAATGGTTTAGCACCTTGCAGTTGTGTGTTCGCTTCAATATCTAACATAACAGATGCTTTTGATGGATCAGTATTTTCAGAACCTCCAGAATAGACAAAAGCCAAATTTTGATTACGAGTTGTTGATAAAAACGTATTAACCGATATATAAGTACCTTTGCTTTTTATTAATTCTTCTAGTTCTTTTATAGTCATAAGCTGACCTCGATAAATCTTGATAACCGGTTCGTCAAAGTTTTGTTCCTGTTTCAACAGATCAAAAATGTCTCGAATGAGAAAACAGAACTTCACCAATATGTCGATATCTTGTCGACGAAGAGCTCGATTGAGAATTCGATAAAGAAATGTATCACGGGTGTACCACCATACGGCAAAGTCAGGGTCATAATCCTTTACCAGCTCTCTCACAATGGCTAGATTGCTTTCATTATTGGTGTACCGTTCATTGCACATCTTGATGAGTCCGTGAAATGCTGTATCCCTGCTTGCACTATCCATTCTCAATAGAACCTCAAGGATTAACTGAAACCACATAAAATTACTCCCAAGATTTTGATGAGTTGATTCAGTTAGTAAAGCAGTTGAATCAAAAACGCTTATATTAATATCTTGCTGCCGCTCAATGAGATTTTCTTCTCTTTGATCTTTGGAAATTTCTGTTATCAGCTTCAGACAAGATGAAGTTACAGCTTTTACCTAAAAGGTAAAAAATTATATGCAGTTAGATAGTTACGATAATCAAGAGCACCTAAAGTCACCTTTTCATAGTTATTAGCCCACACTTTATTTTCCTCTTCCTTTTGGCAATAAACATAAATAGCCACAATCTGCGTGAGGCTATGAATGACAGGAACAAAGTAACGTCCAAGACTGCCAGACACAATCAAAACAATTCTTTCGTCGCTGTGATTTTGAATGTACTGTTCGCAGTCTTCTCCAGTTTCGAATGTTTTCAGAAAATCGATGCTCTGCCGTAGTGATAACTGTGTTTTTAGATTTTCTTCTGTTGAATTTACGTTTGAATCACACCATAGGAGAGAAAACGTTTGCAGGTTTTCTTCATTTTGCTTCTCTTTATCTTCACTTACATGAAAATTTATTGATTGCTCTAAAAAACAGTCGCACCACTCGAAACAGTGATAGAATGTACCGATTGTCATAAACAAACTTACGGCTTTCGCATAGAATTGCAGATGCTATCGTCATTGGATGCAGATGTTGTTCCCCCATTAAGAATTGTATTTTCCTTTTCAAATTTAAAATGGTATTCCGAAATTCCTTCGAAGGTTGCTCGCTGCTAGCCAAGTGTAACAAACTCTGTGCTTCTTGGGTTATATACGCCACTTAGTGTATCATTACTTGAAACTTTTGATCAAGAAGTAAAAAAAAAGAAACACTATAACGAAGAAGAAAAAAAAGTGAAAACAACTCAGAACATGTGATACGTAATATAAGTAATATAATATGTTACTCATTTTTCTTTTTAGTGCTTATCAGGGCACACTATAGAACAGAAAAAAAGAAGAGTGCTGCAATTATTGTTTCCTCCAT